GAAGACTCTGGATTAAAAAAGAAACAACAATTGGATACAGTTTTTGAATTGGTATTATTGCTTCCATTCGTAGAGAGGCAGAACGGAGCTGTTTTAATGCAATCAATAACTGAAGATTTATTTTTCCAAACCCATTTCTTTAAACAATTGCACCTTTTTGGGTCCTTGCACTTGAGTAATTTCTTAGCGATTTTCACTATCGGAAACATTTTTTTCTAAATAAAGCTGCAGCGTGATCCGATGCATTCAGTGGCAGGTTGTGCTCCAGTAAAAGGCAGAGAACAGACATTCTGCATTAATCACTTTTTGGTCTTTTGTTTCCGAAGAAAAATTTAATTTTTTTCATTTTTTTTTCAAAACAACTCAATGTTGTCCTTGTGTTTTTTGTGTACGCACATGTTTGAGAACATCTGCCCTTCCACCATGCGAAATCGAAAAATCGCAATGGGAGATGGTACACATCGAAATTTATTACATTTCCTTGAAGAAATAATGGAAGGAAAGTCAACTGTGTATGATTTTTGAAACGTGCACGAGTATTTCACCTTTCTCGCAGACATAACAAAAGACGATAATTTCTGAAACTATTTCCCAAAGGCACGTGCACTCACACAACTCAGGACAAGATGAACGAAATAGCGAAAGAACATCCAAATAACGGCCAACGGGCCTTGAGCTTGCTTTGTGCTCATTGGCTAATATATGCCAGATTACACGCAGTGGAGCTCGATGCCCATTGGAGAACGACGTTTCTGGATACGTATGCTGTCACTCACAAAGCAGAAATTCTCATCTGATTCGCAAGGTTTTATTTTAGATATAATCTAGAGAAAATTCAGTTGCTTTCAGACGTCCAAAATCACTTTTTTTTTTTTTGTTCATATAACGAAGTATGAAGCCAAGTTCCATAAAAATTGTGAGAAATATTAAGAATAAGAAAAAGTCGGGAGAAATATATTGTAAATCGGGTTGGCAGGAGAGCGGTTGAAAATCGGGAGTCTCCCGACTAAATCGGGAGAGTTGGCAACTCTGCAGACTGTAAGAGCAATTTTATAAAAGTAAGCTTAAACTTTCGATTATATCAAATAGAATTTCCGATATATATTTGTTAATATGTAAAGGATCTAAAGCGAAAGTATGTTTTGAAATCCGAAAATCTGTTTATCAATTTCACGCTGCTCGGCGGGGGGAAAGCCATAGCGGGCGCGTAATGAATTGGAAGTTGATCTGTCAGCACTATCCTTATTTTCAGGGCAGATGTTTTTATTTTATTTGGCTTATAATTCCTTACCAAATTAGTATTTCATCTCGATGTGCTCCGTCTTTGATATGATTTAAAACAAGTTCCTCGTCATTATAATTCGCTTCCGATAGCAAAGAAAGTGACAGAGGTTAGTGAAAACGAAAAAATTTCGATTGACAAATTAGTCGGTGTTCTCGACACAGCAATTATAGGACTTGAACAGGGGAACTTTGTAACTGAACAAGAAATTATGTCTGTTTAATAGAATTAAAGAGAAAGTATTATCACATGAAACGAAGCAAAACTTAAACAACTTACATTGAAAGAAATGTTTAATAAAGTAAACAAATAATATAAGCTTTTTCTTTTTGCAAATTTTGATACCCTTTAGATCATAATTGTTCTTTATTTCATAAATTACGGTTTCATATTTTTAATTTTAGAATTTCTGCATGCCATCTTACGAGATTTAAACTGATGATCTATAATCCGGAAAAATCGATAATCCGGAATCGCCGAAGTCCCGACGAGTCCGGATTAACGACTTTTGACTGTACTAGAAAAATTTTTCACTGTTTTATAAATGCCTATCCATGCGGAAAGATCAGAAATATTTTTGATAATTTCCATACTAGTGTCTAGTGAAATTTTGAGAAAACAAAGGGAAGATGAACATGTTAAGTAAAAGACTTCTAGTATCAGAAGTACATTCAAACATTGTTTTCATTGTCCTTCCAAAAATTCTCCAAAATTGTAGAAATTCATCACAAACTTTCTGTAAAATACATCCATTATGTGTTAATACAATGAAGACATTTTTCATTTTGTCACATTTTTTGTGGAGTCTTCTAGAATTGTGAGTCTGTAAATCTTGCCTTCAAATCCTTCTAAACTTTTTAAGTTGCAAAGTCTAAAATCCTCCAGAAACATTTAGCCCTACCAATTCAGTAACAACAACAAATACAACAACAAACTGTGGAAAAAGTGTAAAATTAATTTTATAGAGAAAACTGATGCATATTCCAAGACAATTAAATGGGAAAAATTCTTACCATGAAAAAATTAAAAGGAATACATTTTTAATTAATTACATGACTATTTTGCTTTTGCTAAGAATTGTTTTGTAAACTGTGCTTTATAGTATTTATTACCTTGTTTATTTTTCAGATTCAAAATAAGTTGCCAATATGAAAAGTAATGTCACTGACAGCAAAAAAAAATAAAAATGTTTTATTTTAATGTTATTCCTTAAATATGCTTTATATATAGCATCATTATTTTAGTTAAATTTATCAGTTATAATGTCCCCCTCCCCCCCAAAAAAAACCCATTGAAAAATTTCCAGATTTCTGAATTAAAAATTTCCTATAGAAATTGATTTTAAAATCGCCAAAATGTTCATACATCGCCAAATTTAGAGCTGTTTAATTAAAAAATTCACATCCCAAAAGCAGAAAGTTGTTTAAGAGCTCTTCATTAGAAAAAAATGAGATAATTTTGAAATACTTATGTTTGACTCCTTGCTCAGAAACTCCAGTATATTAGAAATAGGAACAAATTATAACCAATGAACCCATTCAAAAGATAATCATATTTGTCAGTGAATCGTCAAAAATATTCCTCCAAAATGATAATTCCCACTCAAAATAGCAGTCCTAAAAACAAGACATAAATTTCAGATGATTAAAATTAAGGACCTTCTGCAGATTTTGGCCGAAATTAAGGACTTTTAACGACCATACGAATCCTGTTCACACTAAAACCAAAGGACAGTATGAAACAATTCTCACAAAAGCTTAAATTGAACAATAATTGAAAAATATCTCACAAAAGCATTGAAAAATATGTTTTTAGTTAATACATACATACATCCATTTCATCATCCAATGTGTGCGAGTTAAATATTTTCATACCTTTTGGCATGTTTTGTGGATGACAGACAAGACAATGGTAAGGTGTTATGTAATTCACAAGGTAAGAAATTGCTTTTTCTTCATTTTTATTACATTAATTGTTTTATGAAAAATATCTAATAATATTAAGCATCAATATTTTTTAAAAAGAAAGAATTTATGAAAGAGCATGTGATAAATTTCATAACTTGCAGAGATATTATAACCTCACCATAATTATATGCAGCTTTTCCACAAATCAAAAATGTAATTATATGGTTATGAGTATAGGCCATAAAAACTATTAATGATGATAATCATACTCTAATATGATGAAGACTTTCAATGATGCATAACATGTGATTAATATTAGCCATATTATTAGTTATTATTTGTTAAATTCTACAAAATGAACAGCAAGCTATCTCAAATAAATGAAAAAAATTTTTTTCAAAATTTTTTAAAATGAAACAAATGACTGATGTAATTAACAAAACTTTATAATATCAATAAATAAAATCAAATTAACAATTATTTAGCTTAAAAAGGGCCATGATTCAAGCATGTGAAATTAGGGAAGGTCATACTTCTAGGATTCAATATGATCAGTAAATTTTTCTTATGCAAAATTCCCAATTCTCAAAATTTTACAAATAATTAATAGGTACCATAGAGAACAAAAATTAGGGCATTTAAAATAGAGAATAAAAATTAGTATGATACACTTCATATATTTTAAACTGCAGCAATTCAAAAACACCATATAAAAATTTTAGAGAAATATGAAATATAAGAAACACTTAAAACATATGTTGTTAATTATGCTCACTTGTCTGACAGTAATGTCAGCCCAAGCCCACAAAATTCCTTGTGGCAAGGAGTGCAAGATAAGTCGTTGGCAACAGCCTTGAGAACCTTACAGGTGACAGTGCGATTTAGGTCAGTTCTGGCCCCAATTTTGATGAGAGCACCGGGGACGGGGGAGTTCTGAAGGTCTCCCACCTCTCCTGCCCTATCACCAACCTTTCGAAACGATTTTCGGCTCGCTGCATGTTTAGAGTGCCTCCATGCCACAAGGATACTATACATTGACAAACATCCATGCCTTCTTTGGGATTCAAACTCGGTCCCTTCGGCATGGCGGTCAGCGACGCTAACCACTATACTGGTTGGGTGGCCACTTTAAACATACAGTAAATTCATGCACAGTTTTACTATTTTAAAATATTCTCAGATGTAGGATTTGGTTTAAAATAAATATTTAGATTATGTTCCTCTCTGCTGGAATAATTTATTTTCAGTGCTGACATGGTGCACTAATATAACATTTACTTTTTTCATGCATTATTTCTTTCATTTTTAATTTTCAAAATCAACAATCAAATCTAGGTCATTACAAGTCTTGAAATCTGTATACAGTTTTCTGCAGCATAAAAGTGTTAGAGGTGGCTACAAATTCTAAGCTCAGCAGCACAGCAGTTATTCTGGCAGGCAGCTGCACTGATAATTATCTATCTTGGCAAGAAATTATTTTTCTTCTGTGATTTTGTCCTCTTTTTCTACAGTTTTAGACTTTAAATTCCAGAGATTTTTGAAACATTTGACACCTTGCTAGCCATTTCTAGTCACTGCCTTGTTTTCTAAATGGCTGGCAATGCCTCATTCAGATTTTTTCAAATGATGCTTCAGAACAATTAAAAAAAAAAAAAAAATATATCTGGAGTAACCCAGATCAAAAAAGCTTAAACTGCCCCCTCCCCCCAAAAAATTAAAGTGCAATATCCCTTTAATTCAAAATTCAAGCAAAATTTTATGCAATAAGAACTGCTAATCTAAAAAACTGCAGGAATACTGAGTTATCTTACCAATTGCTTTTCGATGGTAGTTATTCTGTCAGTAAACACTATATCTTCTTGAGAAAGAATTTCATCAAAAATAGCAAAACATTTCAATAGCATATTTTTCCCCTGCAAAAAATATATTACAAATTTGATACAGCAGGAAAAAATTAAAATATTTGATAAAGAAAAATAGACTTAAAGCATGATGTTTCCTTATTATAAGCATTATATTAAGGCAATTATATATAATAATTACTATACATAATTTAAAAATACCGGCAAATGGTATCAACACAGAAAATTATATAGCATGCATTAAAGAATAATAGCAGGGCAAATAATTAAGAAAAATAAAAATTCATATTCAGTTTTATTTGAAACTATCAAAATGATGAAAAAAACGTTTTTTTTATTTATTTTTTTTTTTTTAAATTATGCACAGCATATACACAGGGTGATTCTAAATTGTTTTACAAATTAAGAGGAGTTATAGTACCCATCCAGATGAGCAATAATTACCATAGAACATAGGGTCGCATTCCACTTTGAGAGACAGAAACGAGGAATATTAGAATAACAACCTGAACAGTGTTTGAAAAGTGAATGAACGAGAACAAAAGTTACACAATCAGATTTATTGTTTAGTGAAAAACTCACAGAAAGTATAGTAAACCGGTTATTTTGGTGTTGGCGGCAGTTTTCAAAGTTGTACAAAGGCCGTAGCGAAGACTTTGTATAGTTTTTATTCTATTATTATTGCTCAATATTTAATAAATACATCAAATATATATATAAGTTTCAAATGATCATTCCAGTTAGGTGAAAATAATAGCATCCAAAAGCATATCAGTCTTTTAGTTTTTATTCAAGTTATCCTCAGGGAATTTGATACAGTAAGAAAAGAAAGTGGTAAATTAAACTTTTAATAAAAAAACTGCAAATATTATGCTTAATGAAAGGATTAACCTCTGTTCCAGTCGCAGTGAAAAATGCTGACCATGTGTGTCATTGCACAGTTGACATCAGCAAAGGAACGACTAGCGCACCCTCTCGACAATTCCTGGCGTTGGGTTAATTTTGTCTGCGGCAACAACAATTCTCACCACAAGATTTTCAGCTGAGTTTATAGTTGTCTCATACACTAAAGATTTCATGTGGCCCCAGAAGAAAAAGTCCAATGGGTCGAGGTCCGGTAAGTGAGGAGGCCAAACCACAGGTCCGCCACATTCGATGCATCGTGTGGGATATGTGATATTTAAAAAGTTACGGACTGTGACGGAGAAATGTGCTGGGTTTCCATCGTGTGTAAACCACATGTCTCTCTGGATGGGGAGCAGAACTATCTGCAATAAACTGGGAAGCACTTGTTCCAAGAAGATATAGTATGTTCCGCAGGTTAAAGTCTCACATGATGCAAGGGCCTACCAGGTAATCATCTAGTATACCTGGCCAGATGTTCACAGAAGATTTCTGGTGGTGTTTATGACAGCTAGTGCACTGGGGATTGCTGTCCCATCAAATGTAATGATTGTGCATGTTGAAAATGCTTTCTTTGCTGAATGTTGCCTCATCACTAAATAATATTAATGCAGGAAATTGGGGATCATTATTCCTCATTCCAAGCATCCACTCCACAATGTCTACCCTGCAGGGATAATCATCTGTGTCCAAAAATTGCACTTTTTACACGTGGTAAGGATGCATGCCTTCCTCCTGTAAAATACACCACACTACTGAGAAATACCCATTTTGTATGACACCATTTGCATACTTGTGGAAGAAACTCCTTCAAATCTAGTCAAAACTCAATCTTCCACTTCTGGGGTTTGTGCATTTTGTGTACACCCTGCATTGCTTTTTGAGATGGCAAAACAACCGGTTTCTCGCAGTCTTCAATCAGCACTGGAAAAGGCTGGATGACTTAATCCAATGAGTTGGAAACCACTGTTCATACAATCTTCGTGTCCATTCTCTTTTCTTCACCATATGTGAGTGAATATCTGCCAATTCCTCATATATGTACTCCGCCATAGCATTCACCATGTTTCCACCATGCCATAGAATTCACCATGTTATCAAGGTAATACTTGAAGCGATGATGTTGTGTTATTTTCAAGGACACTGCTCTGATTGGCTTTCTCCAGTATCAACTAAGAGCAAAATATTGCTTCTTCTCAGTGCAAATTTGCATACAGTTAATTTTTGATAGTCTCCTCGTTCTTTGTTGATGTGTTCTACTTTCGTCTTTTCTGCTTCTCAGAGTGGAATGTGACCCTATGTTCTATGGTAATTATTGCTGTCTGGATGGGTACTATTACCCCTCTTAATTTGTAAAAAAAATTTAGAATCACCCTGTATAGTTGACACTCATTATAATAGAACTCTACAAGGACCCATAAAAAAAAAATCAATCTCATCTGATGAGAGTACATTATCCACTTCTTTTATAGACACTATTCTCCAGTCATTATAACCCCCTTTTCTTAGGACCAAATGGGAATGATTCATAACTACAGCCAGCTATTTGGAATGTATTATTGCCAAACGTTCATATAAATCTGAATTAGGGTCCTTATTTTTTGGCAATACATCAATGGGTATTAGCTAATAAACAAGTACCTGAATTATCTTTGCACTTCAGGTTTTCTTTATGTTTAAAGTTTATTTGGTAAATTTACAATAATCGTTTTATCAACTCATTTTCCCAAACATTTCAATGTTATGAACTAATATAATTTTATGAATTATTTATTACAATATGAATAGATTTAACCCCTCTAAAAAATAGAAGATACATATAACTTTTTTTGCATTGATGATTAAATATAAAAAAAAACTACTTGAAAAATTTTCTTACTTTTAAAAAAAGGTAACTAAGATATATTATTAAAAAAGGTAACTAAGATATATCACAAGAATGTAAAAATATAAATTATTTATACCTATAAAATAATACACAGACAATACCTCATTTCCTGCAAATTGTGCCATAGCTTGCAGCGTTTCTATAGTTTGAAATAATTCTTCATAACTAGTATCTTTACCAGTAGAGTATGCTACATATAATGTCACAGCATATGGCATTATATCTTTTGATACAAAAGGATTTTTCACAAGGTTCATTATCAAAGAAACAAATTCCCCACTAAAAAATTATAAAAAATACAGTTATTAGCAATAGTATAGACACTTAAGAAATCTATTTTTTCCTGTATGTTAACTATTTAATACATACAAGATAAAGAAGATAATAAAAGAAGTGAGAAACATTGCATTGAAGTGAGAAACATCGTATTGCATGTTTTATTTCTTGACATTAGCAGAAGTTATGAAAGAATTTTCATCCAAAAATTAGTCCAGTAATGTTTTTAGAACGTGCAAAAAGATATACCTTTTTAAGTAATGATATAAAGATAATAAACTTATATTTTTAACAGTAAAAAAAAGCAATTTAATATGCAGTTATTACAAAACTGTAGATATTTAAAATATATCCTGATTAAAAATAAGAAAAATCTAAAAAAAGTTTATTTTCATACACATCTAAAAAGATATTAGATTTATATTAAAAAAGACAAACTATTATAAGTATTCTAATAGCTATTATTATTACTAGACAAAATGTCACTTTTTAAGGCACTGTACCATTTTTCAACACCTATTAAATTCTTGATATCAGTAAGAAACAAAATGAATTCATTTAAAATATAAGCATGATCTTCTTCCAGAGATAGATTCTCAAAATACCTATAACAAAAATTAAATATTATTAAACATCGCATTTACTATGAAATTCAATTAAATTAAACAATAATAACTGATGCAAAAAATACAAGCAATATGTATATATTAATGCCAGAGAGTTGTTGATGGCTAGTAAGTAATTAATGTGGAATAATTAAAACCTCCCTTTAGAGTTATTTATCCTAAGCATTAGAAAATCAGTTTCTTTTTTCCCTCCAGTGTGAACACTGTGGTGATTGCAAATCTTGGATCGAATTTGCTTGCACGCACGCACGCACTCACTCACTCACGCACGCACGCACAAATTAATAACTAAGCTACCAATTTATATTTTAAAATATTTGTATTTTGAAATAGTAAAATTGATAAGTAAAAACAGCTAATTTAAAATGTTTCAAAGCCTTTTTTAATGAAAAACAAAATTAAGAATCTTCTTAATATTGAACAGCATTTATTTAATGCAATTAAAGAACAGCACTTATTCAAAATATTTTCTTATAACACACTCCAGACATTGTATAAGCTTTGTTTGTTTAGATAAATATTACTCATGAAATTTTACAACTTAATCAATTAAATCAGATTAAAATTGGCACAGCAGTCAAATAATCTATTTATTCCCATTCTCGATTTTCTGCAAATTTGTTTTCACTAAAATTCTAAATATGACTTCAAAGTTCATAAAATGTAAATAGAATTGGAAATTGTTTCAAATGTGTCTCATAACTAAGTCATTGTTTCAGATGCATCCAAAAAGTAAGTTTTTTTAGACTCGCAGACAGAAACAAAAACAAAAATACAGATACAGCAATTGTTGAGCTACCTTTCAATACATTCAGTGATCAAAACCAAAACATTTGTCGTACTGTGGAATCAATTTTTGTATTCATCTATCATATAATTTAGTCATTTGGGATCAAAACTAGCATGTTACATTTCTGCACTTTTTTGTCATTCTAAAAATGCTGACCAAAGAGGAATTTTAGGTCTAAGAAAAGATGGTAACTGCTGGGAGTATGATAAGAACTATAATATTAGGCCAAAAAAATCAATGAACAAAATACGCTCTGTCTTATAAACCAAAAATTTTTATGTAGATGAAGTCTGCTTGAGTTTTGTCCTGTACAGAGATCCACAGTGATAACAATGCATTGATTTTTGCTTGGTTTCCGAGACGAAGTGAACAACCCATGTTTCACTATTTGTGATGATTCTGTCGAGGAATTTGTCTCTGCCATGATAGTATTGCTGCAGAAAAACCAATGCTGATTCCTTGTAACATGAGGTACTTTCTGACAACTTCATGATTCAAAGAATAGGATAACTGCAGAAAATGACATCTGAGTTTTGTAACTGTGAAGCAGTGAATATACTGCTGCACATGGTTGTCATTGATGTTAGATGGCCACCCAATGCACTTTTTACTATAGAAATCTTGACAACCTTTGGAAAATTACCTGCACTAGACTATATACATGCTCAAAATATCAGGCCCATAGAGTCAACAAAGCTGAGCATGAATTTTGATTGACATTTTGACGGAGCTAAACATGAACTTTGATAGACATTACTTTGTGTTCATTCAAATGGTTTAACACAGACCTTACCTCATACTTAGGGGATGGAAAATAGGGGCTGACATTTTAACTTTGTATTACTATTATACTATAAGCAACTGGGAAGTGGAAACTGTCTTTGCCTTTTGCAATTCATGGCCTATCATCTGTTGTTTGTGAAACTTAGTTTTTGGATTCAACTCGTAGCATTTAGGGGGGGGGGAATTCTTGTGTTATGTGCAGAAGGTTAGACATGGTTAAAGTAGGAAAACAAATAATTATTTTTGCAAGATTTCTTTTCTTGATGTCTACTATAATCCTAGTCCCAGATAACTCCCAATTACCAGACCACTTCCTAATGCAAAATAATATTTTTCAGTAGTTACATGGATATGCAAATTTTTTTATGGCAATTTCTTTTAAGTATGATAAAAACAGTCAGAAGTTTAATTTTACAGCAACTTTAATAAACTAAATATTGCTACTGGAATTAATACAAACATTTAGAGAAGTTAAGTTCTTAAAGTGCAACTGAGTGAGTGAAAATTTTTTAATATAAAATTAAGGAGTTTTTAAAAATATTTAACATGTTTAAGAATACCATCAATTATGTAAGATGTAAAAAGAATCTAAAATATTTAAAATTAATTTTAATGTTTTAAATTAAAATATATTTACATTTTACATGATCGATCAATAAATGAAAAGATCGTCACACTTACTTCAAAATGAATGCATGCAGATTTTCAAACTGTGGGATATACTGTGCTAATTTTTCTTCATGAAAAGCATATCTGTAAAAGTGACGCCATAAAAATATCCTTTCTCCAGTTAAAGGAGTTTTGGGTAAAGCTCTGCAAGCAAATAATAATCATGAATGAATAAAAATTAAAAAGATTAACACCAAACTAAATCAAATTTCCTGCCACAAAAATTTTCAAATATAGAATTTACCAAAATAAAATTTATAACAATATAATTTGTGTTATATTGCAGAGTCAAACTTTCAAAGCCCCCATTTACAGAAAGATCAACTCTCGAAAATAGTTAAACACATACCAGGAGACTACTGAAAAAATATATAGCAACTTAAACAATCCGGTACTGCCACCTTTTTTCAGTCATCACAACCATAAGCAACAGCATGTTTATTTTGAATAGAAGAATCTACTAAAGGTGAACAATGCTTACTGCAAAACCTTATATGCATTCTCAGCTTATACATTACTCTATCCATTAAATGCTTCTTAGCTGACACCTTACTTTATTGGCTATGTATACATACTAGCCCCTTAAACTAGTTACAACAAAAAAAGAAAAATATGGGGGTTGTAAATTAAAAAGTGGCAACTTAACCTTGAAACTCGCAGAATGGCGAGCATGCACAAATACAATATGGGAGCGGTGAGGTGGTGCTGTATTCAATGTGTAAAGTGCAAAAAACAGTCTATCTGCTTAGAAGGGTAGTTGTTGTGTGGCGTTAAAGTGAGGAGTTTCGTTTCCATCGCTCTAAAGCATGTTTTCAAAAGGTGATCAGTGGTTGTGGCTTAAAATCGAGATTGCCCGTTGCAAAAATGCAACAGAATGCTATCGAGGATTAGTGGAAGCCTGTGTGGCACAAATGCTTTACCGTATAGGACAGTAGCACGATGGGTTCAAGCATTTTGTTCGGGTCGGAATGAGACTGCGGATTTGCAATGCACAGGTCAGCCCTCCATTCCTCAAGAGCAGATTGACATCCTGAGCGGTCTTCTTACCATAGACCACCGATGGACTATCCGAGAATTATCTTTAGAGGTTGGTCTGAGTCATCAAATGGTGTGGCGCATAATGAAGAAATCTCTCAACATGAGGAAAATTGCTTCCTGCTGGGTTCCACATCGACTAACCGAAGTACAGAAATGGTACCGGTATGCACTGGCTGGCATGCACTTGGAGAGATACCGCAATGAAGAAGATGAATTTCTGCAACGTATTGTCACTATTGATGAGACATGGGAACGAGCCTATGAGCCTGAATTAAAGCGTCAATCAAATGAATGGCATCACCAAGGTTCGCCACGTCCGCAGAAGTGAAGGTTATGCTGATTATGGCATGCGACTGGGACGGTGCAATTCTTACTCATGCTGTACCTGAAGGACAAACTTCAAACGAGATTCGTATTGCCGATTTCTACAGTACCATCTGCGTCCGGCTATGCGGCGCGAACATCCACGTTTATTGCACAACAATCTAACTATCGTATTGCATGACAATGCTCGTTGCCATGTCGCAAACAATGTCATTCACCTTTTGCGACGGTGGCAGTGAGAAATCCTGGAACAACTCCCTACTCAGCCGGCATGAGTCCTTGTGACTTTGATCTGCTTCCGAAGTTGAACGAACCCCTCCGAGTTCACAGATTTTATGACGTTTCATCTGTACTCCATGCAGTAGGGCACTCGGTCACTCACATCAACAATCAACACCTTGCCACTGGTCTACAACAGCTTCCCGACATTTGGCAAAAGGTTATAAGCTTTGCTGGTGATTACATAGAAGGAATGTAATGCAATTGTATTTGTAAGTTAATTAAAAATTGATTTATACCTATGCGGCCATTACTTAATTTACAGCCTTCATGTGTTAACAGATTTAATGAGGTCAGCTAATAATTAATAATAATAAAGAATAGAATTTATTGATTTTTAAATCCCTTAGTTCAACACATGGCCAGCATACTAAAAGGGGCCTTTAAAGTCAGTGTGTTTTTGTGGTCATCCCAGACTACCGAAAAATAAATAAAACTCAAGTTCACTCTATATGCCCCATTATAGCTAAAATTCTTAAATTTTGGAAATTACTTATGGCGATCATCTATCACTTTTTCTTCCAAGACATAGTTTATGAAATTTATTGCCAGTCACACTACCTATGGACACTCTAGCAAAAAAAATCTGATGTGTACACCATGGGACTTCCTTGTACGGAATATTAAATTATACGCATTTTTTCTTGCATTTCATTTAAACTTATTAGATTGAATTAAACCTACTTCGCCGACGCCGCATAAGCCACAATAGAATAAATGCATTCTTTAAAATTCACTTTGTTTACCATAGCGACACTCTGGCGCTAGATTCACTTAACAGTATCATATTTCGTTCATATTATAACTCAGAATGCACAAAATTTATCATTTAAAGAATTATCTAATCGTTGCCACATGTTCTATTCAAATAATATAATAAAGCTAGAACGATGCCTAAAAGAAATTAAGCAAACAAAACAAAAAAGAAACAGTTTTTCACAGACAATTGAGTATTTCTCATTCAATTAATTCAGTTTTCACTTCGCGACAAGGCAAAAATACACAAAAACTCAAAATATCTGTATTAAAAATTACGAAGTAAATCTTAAATGCTTATTTCCTCGAAAAAATTCCAGAAAGGATTAAGCATGATTTAAATAATAAATGAAGGCGTTATCTTTTTGTAGTAGCAAAGCTAAGTTTCTCTAGATTGGCAACAAATCCGCTATCCTGCTGTTTCAAATGTAAACAAGAGCAATGGCCGCCATCAAAAACATTATTAGGCTAAGTGGCACTTAAACAATTTTAAAATTGTTGATAATTCTAAAAATATTACGTACAGATTTACTAAAGGCATAAAAACCTTAACCGGAAGATAACAACAACATAATTCAATCATTTTTAAAGCAAAAAATGTACAATTTACAAACATATAACAGTAAAGAAACTGAGATCACTGAGCCGGGTAACAGAGTAGATATATATATAAATATATTTATATATGTATGGTGCGGCCGATTGCAATCAAAACATGAGGTGCACATCTACATGTTATAGCAGTCCTATATACAAAATTTCAACATTCTGAGGCTACTCGTTTTTGAGTTATGCGAGAAACGTACAAACAGACGCCATGAAAAATTCTCTTCAGAATTCATTTTAAAGCAGTTTATAATTTTTTTGGATTAAAAGAGTGTTTTATTCTGTCCTTACGTACATATATCACGGAAATACATCGTTAAATTGCATTTGAAAGAGGTCAAAATGCGATATTTTCGTTGAAATATGCTGCTTGAAACTTTTTGCGATTACAATACTTCCTTTTTACTTCGTACAAGAAAGTAAAAAGAGAGCTTTAAAACATTATGACTGTGGTGCGTATTACCAATGTATATCAAACATAGAACAGTAATACAGGAATCAGCAGGCTCAACTACTTCCTAAATGTGAAGACCAAAATTTATGTTTAGTTAATAAGGTAAAGATTATCTAAGGTTTAATAGATTTCAATTATTAACAGCAATATAATTTTTTTTAAACTTAATTATTAAAATCAGTATTACACTCATGTCCATAAATTAAGGATAATTCGGAGTCACGCGTAAATCAAACTCTAAAATAAATATATCACCTGTAAAATCACTACACACATCTTCAAGATTCATATGCAAATTTCAGGAAGTAACTAGATGACACCGATGGTTGTAACAATGACGAGAGTGTAAGAGAGTGATATATAAGGAATACAGGGAAAGAAGTAAAATTGCTCGCAGGCGCTTTATAAGCATTTCAGTGCAATAACCAAATAGTTATGACACAAAGGACGCATTTGGATGATTTTTTACGTGGTAGAATTATCGTACGTCTGGAATGTGGGTGTACCCGACTGGAAGTATCAGACGAACTTGGAATTGCCCAGAGTGTCATCTCCAGGCTTTGTCAACGATTCCAAGATGATGGTAATGTGAGTAGGTGTTACAGCACAGGTCGCCATAGAGTTACAATGCCGAATGAGGACCGGTATTTAGCAATTACTGCCAAAAGAAACAGGCGGAGCACAGCCTCAGACCTGTCTCGTCAGCTGCCTTCAGCCACTGGTACGACAATTTCAAGGCAGACAGTGTACAGACGCTTAGGGCAGATTGGTCTATATGCTCGTAGACCTGTCAGATGCGTTCCACTTACTGCAATTCACTGTCGCCTGCGGTTAGCCTGGAGTAAAGAGCATGCACTGTGGACACCGCAACAGTGGGCTTGTGTAATGTTTTCCGACGAGTCCAGGTTTAGCTTGCAGTCTGATTCTCGCCGGACTTTCATATGGAGAGCTTCAGGTACCTGCTACCACCAAGAAAACATCATTGAACGACACCATTGCGGTGGTGCAGGAGTGCTCGTTTGGGGTGGAATTATTCTGGGTTCCAGAACTGACCTGCATGTTCAAATTGGAACCATGACAAGCCAAACCTATCGGGACGTCATTCTGGAACAACACGTACGTTTGTTTTGGGACGCCATGGACGCACAATTTGTGTTTATGGATGACAACACCCGTTCTCACCATGCACACATTGTAAGCGAATGCCTTCAATCAGAGGATATCACCGGTATGGACTCGCCAGCATTCTCACCGGGCTTGAATCCAGTAGAGTACATGTGGGACATGCTTGGCCGACGAGTTGCTGCCCATCAACCTCCTCCTGCATGTCTACCGGAACTTCGGAGAGCATTGCTTTTTGAGTGGTGTAATATCCCCCAAAATCAGATGGATATTTTGATACTCAGCATGCCTAGGCGTTGTACGGACTGTATTGCATAGTCTGGGAGACATACGATGTATTAACAATTATACCAATCATGAAATATTGGTTTTTTGTAAATAGGTTTTTTTTTGTAATTTGTTCCAGGGAGAAAAAAAATCGCTAATTGTTTTAATAATATCAAACATATAGCATCTTTTTTTTGCACTTTACCTTTTGTTTAATAAATAAGCTTTACAAATAAGTCAAGTTTGTTTTGCTTCTAACTCTTCCTTTGCCTGATTTTGCATTATCCTTAATTTAAGGACATGAGTGTAAATTAAATGAATTTTAATGAACTGTATTGTAAAAATATAACTATTCTGTTAGTGACAAATGCTAAGAAATTTCTTTTGAAGGTGATAAGAATAAGGTGGTCTGCAGTTTCGTAATATTCAATAAAAAATAATTTTTACAATGATAAATCAGGTTCCTTGAAATTACATATTGTGTATAAAGTAATAAAATGTATTTAAAGTTAAACAACAACAACAAAAAACATTCAGAGCAGTTAAAGTCTACCTTGCTTATCAAGCTTCAAAACTAATTCATTTATTAAACAAAGTGATTAGCTTGTATATGCTAAGCATTAATATACTAAGTATGAACCAAAAGGTGATGTTGGGAGTGGTAAGTTAACTCACAATAATAATATAAAGCATATAAAAGCACACATTACAATCATGTAAACCAAACAATAACTTTTGTAAAAGCTAAATAACACGCTGAAATACAGTACAAAGTCTGAAATCCGGATGTCCATTACCTGGAATGATCTCTAAAATCTGGACCTCAAAGCCACAAACATAAAAAAAAAAAAAAAAAAAAAAAAAAAAAAAAAAAAAAAATAATAATAATAATAATAATGCTTATACATGTGCATTTGATTTTTCCTTCCATAATAAAACATGTGGAGACTTAAAAATTCCGATTCTTAATTTCATTTAGGCACTAAATAAAATACCTCATTATGGAAAAACAATCATGTACGCATAAATTTGCGAGATTAATAATTTGGCTCTGTAGCTGAGTATCTACTTGGCATACATCTCAAACCGAAACATTTACCTATTTTATATCCCTGACGACGACTTGGCGAGTCAGTATTTATTATATTTTGCTTTCATCACCGCATGTTTATCAATACATGACAGCTTCAGTAATAACTCATGCTGTGATGTTTAAACTTTTTTTTTATATTAGTAATTGAATAACAAGAGTATGGCAACCTTTTATGCTTTCGCTTGGCGATGATTATAGATTTTTAAATGTTCTAGGAAATGTTGACGAGGAAAAATTCAACAAAAATTTCTTTTCATATGCTAAAAATAGATTTTGTTAATGAAACTCATAGGCCAAAATATTACATTTAGTGCTATTTTAATTAAGAAAGACTGATATGTTATTCACCATAAACCCGGAAGCGGCGGGAGAATATGTCGTCACTGGACGGCAGAATTTAGGGAATACTAAACTTTTGGAATTTGGGGAAGCACCGAGCGGCAAAATTAAGGGATGAGAAGTTTTTATGATTTAGGAAAAGCACTGGAATCCAAAGTTTAGGCACAGTGAAAATTTAGAACTTAGGAAAGCGCTTTGTAGCAGAATTTAGGAGACTGCACCTGGCGGTATCGAGCGCCGGCCCTAGATAAAGCCTTAAGTATATGTGGGAGTTCATTTGTTCAGGACTCTGATTAGTTTGAAGCATGTGCCAGAAATAAATGTAGGTATAGTAAATAACTAAACTAATACAATTCACGCTTAATTTAGTACGCAATAGGAGCAAGACAAAATTTTGCAAAACAACTTGGCTTTCATCGCCAATCTTGTGATACCCAGCCAATAATGTATAACAGATGCTATTAAGCTAGGCTAAGATTATCTTTACTGATTCTAAGGCATTTCAATTAATGTAGCAGACTGCGCTGCTCCCTGATCTTCTATTTGATCCAGCTTGTTATTTTTTGCAGACTGTTATTTATTACAGCAATTTTATAAAAACTAAGCGTGAACTTTCGATTATGTCGAAAAGAGTTTCCAATTCTGGAGTTGCCAAAGGATCTACAAAGAGAAACCATGTTTCAATGTCCATTAAACAAAAAGTGGCATTGTTGGGAAAAAAAAAAAAAAAAAAAAAAAAAAAAAAAAAAAAGGATAAAGGCATATCCGTCTCAAAATTATGCGAGGAGAAAGGCATTGGAAAGTCCACTATATATGACACAAGAAAAAAGGAAAAGGAACTTTTTGAATTTTTTGTAGAAGAATTTTAAACAACTTACATTGCAAGAAATGTTTAATAAAGTAAAATATATATAAGTTTGTTTTAAAATTAATTTTTGAAACCCTTTAGATGATAATTTTTCTTTATTTTATAAATTACGATTTCATATTTTTAGTTGTATAATTTCTGCATGTCATCTTACCAGATTTAAATTGATGATCTATTATCCGGAAATATCCCAAATCCAGAATCGGCGAAGTCCCAACCAGTCCGTATTTCGGACTTTGTACTGTATTTAAAATAGTTATGAATCATTATAAAACAGTAAGGAAAATAATAGAATAAACCAAACAACATGATTTCCCAAAACACATAGACAATGAATACCACATTTACATGTGTACAGGTTGTATATGTATACAAGCTGTACCATATTTCTGAAGTGACATATTTGTAGAAGAAAAAAGGAAAATCTCATAATTCTGCCAAGAGGAGATTACTAAGAAGGTACTCAGAAACACAGAAAAACTGCAAGTTCAAAATAAAAGGACAAAGTAATGTTTATTGTTAAGTGCTTGCTCAAGGAAGATATTGCTTGAAAATTATCTTGAATATAAGCTGCATTCTAATTTTAGTAAAAAAGTTTAGGGTAAAGGAAATGTGACATATACATGCATAAATATATGAATTATGGTAAAGACGTAAAAGTAATATTTTGAACAGTATGAAATATTAAGTTGTAATTCCACACATTGATATTTCTGGCTTTGTGAGCAACTTTATTATTTTGTACCAATTTATTTTAAGTAAATAATTTTATGGAAAAGAATAATTACAAATTCACTTTTAATTCCACTAAAAGGAAGCTAAAGGTGTGCCAATACCAAGAGAGGGGGGAAAAGAGATAAGAGAGACAAGACTTTTGCATTTACTATTACAGGAACCAAGGTTTTTAATTTGCAATGGCAATCTTGATTTTGGAAGGACTTTAAAATTTGGATCCATGACCATTGAAGAATGAAACAATTTGCTGAAATTGGAAAGTAATTCATACAATCTTTTTGTTAAACATATATTAAAACTGCAACAAATGATTTAAACTTCTGTGGGATTTATCAGCATTATTATATATGAAATATTAAGAATGTCCAGAAAGTTTAGTACCATTGGCAAATAATGCTGCCGCAGTACTATTTTGCTGACTTTCTAAGTCCTTTATTTACTGGATAATAGAAAAGTCACAGAAAACATTTGGGGGGGGGAGGAATCAGATCCTTCAAACATGTCGTATTTTTAGCACATTCAAAACAACCAAGCACCTGCTACCTGTCAAATGCTGTCTTATCTGCTTTCGAAGACAAAGCTGGTAAAATTGACAGGCATTCATCAACAACTTTAAGAAATGTATAATAAAAATGCCACGAGTGGTCAAAGATAAATAGATGAGTTAGAAGCTTCAATGAAAGACAAGTTATAATCGGTGGAAATATACAATAGTGAGGCATGGACAGAAGAATCTAGATACCAGATCTGGAGAAGTTTAGAGGCAAAATTTCTTTATTCAGAGTACTTTGCTTCAAGACTACACCACATTCTATGTTGTTATCAAAATGTAAAAGAAGTCATCAGGATATTTAGCTCTTAAGCAAATCATATTCCATATAGCCCAGTTTAAACTTTGAATGATTTTTAGAAAAATATTTTAACAAAAGGCATTGTTTTTAATGAATATTAATACAAAGAAAAATCTAAGCATATAATTCATACAAACATAATTAAATACATAATGCATGCAATTAAAATAAAAATTTATATTACAAAGCTTACGTTTCTGCATCTAAATCCAACTCTTCAAGCACATCTGCAATTTTTACACTTTTCAGCAATAATAACAAAAGTCCGTTCATAAACATCAAATTATCAAGGCTATCAGCTCCTGATCGCAAACTTCCCAGAAAATTGCATATTTTATCACCATAAGCTCTGAACCAAACTGGTATTAAACGCTTTTCTACATTTCGACGAACTATATCTATAATGAAATTACATTCTTTAGAATGCTAGAAATTTCAAATAGTTATATAAAAATATAGAAGCAACATTAAAATAGATAATTCCTACAGTAAAAATAACACTGTTCTGCATTAAAATCTCCACACCAAACCAATGTGTTATTTTGAAAATTTTTATCTATGTGACCCTTACACTGACCTGTAAATTGTCGTATAATGTAGCAAAATCTAGAGAACATCAACAACATGCTTTGACTGATTACAAAGCAGGTATGAGGATGTACCTATGTGACACATAAGTTGTTACAGTGTATAATTTTTTTTTTTTTTTTTTTTTTTAATGTTTAGGGAAATTGTGCAAAACCTGGCAATACAGGAATTATGTTGTTGCTTCTAGTAATCTTAATACCCAATGTTTCTAGAAAATACCAGATATACAAAACAGGTACACAAGCAGCCAGCCATGTTCAAATATGTTAATAAAGGGGGGGGGGTGTGAAGTGAATGATAATGTATAATTTAGTTAATAAGTTCTGGCAATAGCGAGTGTTGTTCTCATTAGGAGATCGCGCTTTGCAAGCACCAGGAATGTTATAAGCACCAGCTGTTGTTATAGAGATGCAGTTCAACTTTAGTTAGTAATTCCAATTAAAGCTTACTACTTTTTGCTCTGCTAATAGTTTTCTTTTTTCTAGTTCTAGAAACACCTTTTCAGGTTATGAGTATATCAAGCTCCCATACTGCATCAAGTGTTTTGAATTAATAGAATAAAATTAAATTCATTAAGCCTAAGTGTTTCGTTTTCCTCTTAGCGATTGAAATTGATTAAAAAAAAATTAAAGAATGGAATTATCTAAGATCCAAGTAAAGCCTTTAGCAGGTGAAAGTGACTGGCTTGTATGGAAATATAGGATAAAATTTAAGCTATCATCCTGGTGTTTTAGAAACTGTAGAAGAAACTTTAGTAAAACCAAAAAATCTTTCAGTAGATGTGTCGATTGCTCTACAAGAGAAGTTTAATGAAGCTATTAAGAAGTTTCAAAATGCAAATACACATGCTATAATGGTTTTAACAAATTCTATGACAAAAGAAACTCTTCAGAAGATTAAGAGATTTCAGACTGCTAGAGAAGTGTGGTTGGTTTTACATAAATTTACAAACATTCCATTGATTTTTGTTGTTTAACTTCTCCAATAATTGTTATTTGGTATGTTATTTTAACCTAAATCAATATCTTGCTAATAGTTGCTGGGAAAAAAAAAAAAAAAAAAGACTTTCATTATTTATTCAGAAGAAATATTGAAAAAATCTAGAAATATGAAATAATTTCCAAAAAACACTTCATAGAATTATCAGTGTTTGCACGGATAAATAATTTTCTACTTTTTAGACTTATATAATAGCAGGTTAAACTGCATCAGTCTTGAAAACAATACATATTTTAACAGCAAAATTTAACAAATTATTTTAATGCAAATACATCCTACCTGAACTATCAAAAAAGCACTGATTCAAAATTAGTATTCGCTGATTGTTTGTATATGAACGAGGACTGATCCTATCACAAATGTGGAGAAGGGCAGCATTACGGACATTAGCATTTCGGTCATAAAGAAATCGCCCTGTAAGAGGCAGAAGAGTTTCTTCACATGCAGCAAGAATTTCGACAATATTCTGCCGAACACGTGCATTAGGATCATTTTGTAACTGCCAACATAAACCTAAAAAGGAAAAGAAAGCACGTAAATATGAAATGTGAATAATAGAATAATAATAACTTCTATATTAAAACACATAAAGTAATAAGTATAGTGTCCAAAAAGAAAATTTAAAAATACTCCATACATATTTTCAACAATTTTATTACTACATTAAATTTTTGTATGCTTTATGCTTTTTCAGTTGTCTTTGTTTTACTTTGTGTTGCAATATTGCAATAAAACTTGCATCTTGCAGAATTTTAATTCATTCTGAGACCATAATATTTTAATGTTACTCATACACAGATAAAAAACATTATATGTACATAAAAATGTATAAAAAATATATAGATTTTACCTGTTACTGTTTATTGTGGAAACTTGTATTAATTTATCATACGCTTATCTGTAACATAACTTCAATACGACTTGTTAAAATCATGCTATAGATTATTGTGTTGTTTACCCCAACATACTAAAATGAAATGTATTGTTTTTGCTGTCAAAAAAGTCCTCATTTGATTAAAAGGATTTAACAAAGTACAAATGAATATATGGTTTTAGGTAAGCATAACCGTATACCACATGTTCAAGGCATTATTTTTGAATGGATTTGAGAATGCTAAAAAATATAACTGGAAGATACAAGCCACTAAATTTTAAGGATCTGTGACATAAAAATAAAATTTTAGTGAAGGAGAAGGGGAGCAACTATTTGTCACATTTGTAACTAGAACTTTATTTTATTATAACTTATCATTTGTGAAAATAAAAACCAATTATTTCTAGCATTACCCAATTTAATGCTTCCAAACTTATTTAACATTTTTAATTACTTGAGTTTATTCTCAAACAGATAAATGTTTTACTGGTCTTAAACAATCTTAAGAATTTACTTTTCAAGGACTGTATAAAGTTGATAATGTTTCAGTTTAAGAGCTGTACTTCTACAGCAATTAATTATGTTTCAATTTTTTACAGCAAGAGATATGTTTTCTGTAGCGATACAGCAAGTGAAATCACATGATATTTAAGAATGTTTTATTTCTTGTTAAGCTTTACTAGAGGGATGATGGTAAAAGATCTTAAGGTTTAATAATGATATTTTAATTTTTATAATTACATTGTATAGTGGTTAATAACTATTGTGAAATTTATTTTTCTGTGTAATAGTTTTATATGATTTTAATTATATTGATAGTTTTAAAATATTAAATTTCTTCAACTAAACTAAAAAATTAAAAATAAAGAAAAACAAATTACAATGTTCTTGTAAATGACTGATATTTTTATTAAAATGCTTGATGAAATCTTAACTGACAGTCTTACTAAAGAATTTAGAAAACTGTTTTAATGAAAAAAATTGAAAATAAAAGTAATAATGTTGTTTTAACTGACTGATCCCTCCGCTAAAGTATTTAATGAAATTATGATTAAAAACTAAAACAATTTCACTCAATACTATTAGAAAGAATCAAAACAGTTTTATTTAATATGGTATGAAAATCATTGAAGGTAAGATGAATGATTTTTCAGCAAAACTGTTTTATACAGCCAATGAGAGAACTATAGAAATTTCTATTTAATATATATACATATATATAATATAAATAAATAAATAAATAAAATAAAAAAGAGCATTTACCAGAAATTACAGGATCATTAACACTAGATGGATCTTGAAAAAATTTAGCAATTAACACAGCATGACTTCTCACAATAGCACTAGCATCTATTCTTCTCTCTTCAATAATTTTTGCAATGTTATCATATACAGACATGGCTATCTCTCCAACACCGTTCTCTTGAATATTGGTAAGTATCATATAAAGAAACTGACAGACATGACAGCGCACTGTATAAGATGATGCTCGAGACCACTAAGAAAACAGTTGAAGTATATTAAAACAATGCAAAAATTGCATAAAAATATGAGAATTTTATTAAAACTGATTTTAATTTCTTTACAGCATAACTATAGATATCACATTTCATCTTTCTTAATACATAATATCTTTGGAAGGATAAAATTTTTTAGCTAAAAAATTATACTTTACTATACTGAATTTATTAATTTCATAAATACAAAAATTTGTTCCATTCATTAGCTGTTAATTGTATTAACTGTCATTAATCATGGAATTATAATATATAACAGTCTAAATGATTATAAGAACATTTTGAAAATGTCACTTTTTTCAATCTCTTTAAGGAGATGTGTAATATAATTTAACATTAGCCCTTCCCCCCCCAAAAAAAACACCCCTCATTAGATTAGCACAATTTAAAAAAACAAAAAATCATAAAAAAAAATTCGCAAAAAGCTTTTTTTTAACCTTTTGTGTGCTACCTTTATTTATTAAATATCGTGTTCTTTGCACTAAAACTACATAAAATTCTATTCAACAGCAATATAACAAAATATTAAAAAACAGCAAAATAGCATATCTTTAGAATTTCGCATACACAGTGTTGGCATGTGCTGGAGATAATAATGTTTTTTCCCCCGTACAGTGTTGGCATTGCTCGCTTTGAAATTGTCAAGTTTGTTAATAAAAATTCATTAAAACTTTGCAAAATTTTGAAATAGATAATAAAATAAATTCCAAATTTGCCTGCCAGATGCCTATAGTTGGGTGAAGGAGTATGTTATTCCAAATTTGATGGATCTTGGTACTGTTGTCTTTTCACAGTGTGAGAAACATACATACATTTATGCAGATTCGTCATTAATTTCTTTAAATATAATACAGGGTGATAATATTTGGTGGCAACAATTTAAAAAGACTTTTGCCGATTATATGCAAAATGCCAAAACAAGATTAATAGACCTTCTGGGCTAATAAATAATAATATTTATTATTTATTTATTTATTATTATTTATTATTATCTAATAAGTGGGCAGAAATCTAATTCAAAAGTGGGTCTTCTATTGAAATTGAAGGTGATTTGAGATCAGCCCATTTAAAATCTCTCATTTCTGTAGAAGAGAGATCTATATCAAATCATCCTCAAAGTTAATAGATTTCTTCAAAATCTCCGCTAATCTAAGATCGCTTTTTTGGATAACTTCAAATTTTACACCAACCTTTTTTTAGCTTCTACATTAGGTGCAATATAAACCATAAGTAATTTTACTTTAAAAAAATATTGTGAAATGTGGCAAAGGTTCTCAAATTAAGTTTCACATAAAAATTATCAAAAGGGAATACTGGTGCATTATGTAAAATTATAGAATTGGTTTTCGTGTTAAGCCATTATTTTGCATTTCCTTTTATGCTTTTATTTCAAATTTATCTTAACTCTTTGGGGCCCTGCAAAATTAAATGATTCTTTCTTCCCAAATATCCATGCTAACTGTCAATTGCACTGGGAACAGATGCTCTCTTTCTTTTCCTAGATACTTTAATAAATGCCACTAAAAAGGTATTTTTTTAAAAGAAAAAGCAGCTGAGCCAATCATCAATTACAATTTCATATGATTCTTAAGCTATTAATAAAAATATTTTATTATTTGCCATTATTATTTTCCCATTATTAATTTGTCAATATAATAGCTGTATGTATTTTAATAATGAATTTTTAAAATATAACAAGACATGTTAGATAATAGATTTACTAACCAATAAGACATACAATAAAAAATTTAATGAATATAAATATATTTATTTACGTAAGAACAGCTTCATGTGTGGTAGACTTTGAAATATGGAATGTTACAGAGTGCGCCATTTCACACAGATAAAATCTTCTGCACTTGAATTATCTTCCAAACTTTCAAAACAAATATCCAAATCTGAATCATTTTCATTATCTAATAAAAGATGTTCAGCTTCAGAATTCTTTGCTCATAAAATATACTTTAACTTTCTCTATGATGCATTTATAGCTATAATGCACATCCAAAATATATAGCGATAAACAAAACTGTCAAATTCATCCTTATTATGCAGAAATTATCTAATACTCCTACTGCCATTTGTCCAAGTTCAAACAACTAATCTGCAAGTTCTAATTTGTAATGCTAAAAAGAAATGGATTACTTTGAAAAGTGAGCCCACTTTATTTATGCACATAAGGGCAGAAATCTAATTCAAAAGTGGGTCTTCCCATTTATTCAGAAACTTATAATGTGAGCTGTGTTCATTTGTGTCCACTGGTGTATAACTGGAATGCAAGCAGAGCTCGTTAATAACCATCAAAAGGTTAGGTATTTCTTAGCTTTTTAAATATAATTCTGAGCTAAAAAGAAATGGTACTTTCTTATTGTAGTGGCCCCCAAGATTAAATGAATCACTAATCAACCAATATCTCACTGAAATTTTATTATGTGTGCTTATACCTTGCTATATGTCACATCTTGGTTGATCGGCGATTAAACTTCGGCTGCTGTTATAATCAGAAAGTACCAAAAAATTTTTAAAATGTTAATCTAGACTATGGATGTTCCTAATTATGACTGACAGCTAATGGTAATCAGTTATATGCTTTATCTGCATGTGTCTAAATAAATTTCCAGGCACAGAAAATTTGATGATTTTGCTGTAGTTATATCATATTTGCCAACCTATCAAACTCAAAAATCAGAAGTACTTTCTCAATGTTTTAAATAATAAAAATATGTAGAAAGAAAATGTATTTTTTAATAATTAAATAACTTTAAATGGTAACTAATTACTATCTGAAAGTTCAGTTATTTCTCATATGTAAACAGTGTAATACTTACAGGAAAAAAAAAAAAAAAAGTTTTATTACTTGTAACACCTTGGGGGTGGGAAAGGAGGGACACTTCTATATCTCCCTTTCTACTGAACCGATTGTCGAAATATAATGTGTTTTCCATTTCTCGAAAGTGCAACTTAGGGTATATATTAGATTTATACATAACATTATTCTAACCAGGACTGTGGAGTTGGAATCGGGCAGATTTTGGGGTAAAAGGAGTCGGAGCTGGAGTCGCTAAAAACAGGTCGACTCTGACTCCAGTTTACGTTGGACAGTTTGAATTTGAAATGAAATTAAAATGAATTGAAAAATTAATCACAAGCTGAGTTATTATTTTTATTTATGAACTGTATACATTAATAAATAGTTATTTTCTATTTTATTGACCTATTAATAAATAAATATAAGGGAGGAGGATGGATGTGATATTTGCCATTAGTGATTAAACTGATTCATTTAGTTACAAATCTCACTGATAAATTTAGGTAAGCAGCAACAGCAGCAAGAACTTCTACAATTGATGCCATTCTTAGGAAGCGAGCAGGAAAAGAAGCAATTATTGATTAAGCAATGGCGATAAGGAAGTACATATTTGATGATAAAGAGGTTTTTAGAATTAACTTTTTTAGGAAATGTAGATAACCCTAATGTTCACTAACAGAAAGACTGTGGAATGATCTTGCAGAATCGGAAACTCTTCTTTCTATACCGTATATAGCCACAAAAAAGCTGCAATCTGAAGAATTGAAGAGAAGCCTAGTAAAAATTAGTTATAGCCTTTGAAGAAATAGAGAAAGATGATTGCACTTGCAAGACACCTCTTTTAGAACTTCTAAAAATCTATCCTGCAAAGTTAAAAGTAGCCCTAACAGTAACAATTCTTCCTCCTACTCAAGTTAATGTAGAAAGACTCTTCTCAGCTCTGAAGTTTATCAAATTGGATCTATGGCACTCCAACAAAGAAAATCTTGCCGAAGCTATACTGTTTCTTAGAAATAACTAATGGAAGTTTTTCCATTTCATAATAAATGCTAATTAATGTAAATAATTTGCCATGCCATCAACTTTTTTTCTGTAGCATGTATTACTTCTTTTATATTAAAAAAATAAGCTGTAATACATGTGTATATGTTTACACATATATATATATATATGAGGGAGTCGGAGTCATTAAGATTCCAGGAGCCGATCATTTTTCCTACCGACTCCACAGCCCTGATTCTAACACAGATATTCTGACACGAAACTAGACTTTTTCTAACATAACATACCAATTTTTTTCCATATTTCGATTCTACGATTCAAATTATGCCCAGATATAAAAATTTGTAATTTTTGGTGAGAAGTTTAAAAATTTATGTTGCTGCATTTTTTTCAGATTGCACCAAGAATAATTCACTTGGCGAACTTCTTAATGTATAGTAATCTATTTTTTTTTTCCATTTTTTCATTGTGCACAAGTGGAAAAAAGGCATGGTTCAGTCTTTCAAATAAATTTAACAAAGTGCATAAAGCATATTTGACTTATTATCACTTATAATAAATATGACAAATTTCAAAATGTGCCAATATATAAATTCACATATATCTTAGAAAACTTTTAATAAAAAAACTAATTTTTTGCAGCTATGCTTAGAATTGCACTTACCTTAAGATGATGGTAAAAATTTTATAAAAATGATTTTAAAATACAAATTTAAAAAATAAATCATAAAAAATGGGGAATTTTATTTTGCAATGAACCTAAATTTTGAAATGTGAAAGGAAAAATCAAATAAGTTTAATAAAAAAGAGATTTTAATAAATATATACCAAATTCGAGTAACATGGAGGAGCTAAAATTTTGAGAGCTAATTTTTTAAAAACTATTCATGCGATTTTTACAAAACTTGGCACTTTGGCATAATTTGAATCATAGAATCAAAATATGGGAAAAAATTAATATGTTATTTTAGAAAAAAGTCTGATTTTGTATCAAAATACCTATGTTAGAACAATGTTATATACAAATCTAATACACATTCTAAGTCGCACTTTTGAGATATTGAAAATGCAAGTTAAATTTCAACAATCGGTCCAATAGAACAGGAAATATAGACCTGTCCCTTTTTTAGGGGGCAAGGTATACCTTCCAATAATAGAAAAATACACTAATGAGTTTCCCTATCATTAAATAATATTTTAACTATATAACTAATCATTGATTGCAAAACATGAATAATGCAAATCTGCACCATAGAATTTTATTAACATCAAATAAGGGCAAAATGGAGGATTAAAAAAAAAAAGCAAAAAGTTTTGTTAGGATCCGAAGATTAAAAATATAAATATTCGTTATTCACAAGATAAACTTACAATAACTGGAAAATGTGTCTCTTGTCAAGAGTTTTTTTTTTTTTTTTTTTTTTTTTTTTTTTTGTTTTGTTTTGGAAGAACTTTTTGGGGGGAAGACCTTTATGCTTATATTTTGCAGTATTGTTTTGAGAACTGCCAAACTGAATTGCTTGCAGGTGCAGAAATGTCTCACACCTATTTTTAACATTGAAAGTATTAACTACATCTCCATTTATTTAAAGTATTTTATAACTTTCAACAAAGCCTTTTATCTTAACTCTAGAAGCATTTATTTCTTTCTTTAAAAATGTAAGAGGTGGATTCCATTGGTCGAGGATTCTAGATAAAACTTTTCTCGAAAGATAACCAGTATGTTCACTGCTGGGGGAAAAAAAAGAAGAGGGCAGTTCTACATCTCCAGTTCTATTAGACCGATTGACAAAATTCAACTTGCATTTTTCATGTCTTGAAAGCGCGACTTGGGATATGTACTAGATTTACATATCCAATACGTATTGAAAATTCATATTTCATATATCAAAATTTGCTTTTGAAACACTGTATTTTACACATCACATAAATACATGAAATATTAGCTTATTAATAGTACTTACACGCTTTAAAATTTGAAACAGGTATTCTAATAAAGGATGCATTATTTCCTCTTCCTCCTCATCTTCAGTTCCATTGCTTTTTCTATGTGCTGTTTTATATTTATTATCCAAAGTTAACACACAATCAGAGATAAATCTAAGCATTTTGCGAACATCAGCACTTCTTTTATTGTCACTTAAGATGAGCATTAAAACTTCTTCAAAGCTTGGCTTAAAACCTTGGCCGTTGAACTAAAAGTAATAATAATACTAGTAATTATTGTATAAATTTTGAATAATATAAAAAAGAATATAGGGAAAAAAATCAAAATAAGAGATATAACTTCAGAACTCGAAAGTCTCTCAATTTATGAACAAATTGTCTGAATAAAGCAATGAACAGCGTCTTGTGTTATAAACACACTAGTCAGAAGATGTTCTGAGGTAACTTATGCTACATAATTAACACTCAGGGACTTCTGGAGACATTTTAATATTTTTTGCTATTTATCTTTCATTAACAAAAACCTGCCAGCAAATAAGTTACAGAACCATAAATTCAGCTTAGAGACTGAATCAGCCAAATTATATGCAGATTGCTTTGTGGGCAGACTTTCAGGCAATGCACTTATGACCTTTTTTGTTGTTTATACTGTGTCTTTAGGTAAAGTTACGGACTTGGTAGTTAACAATGATGATATCGAGAAGTTACTTGAAGAGCATAAAAATAAGCTCCACAAGGAAAAAATTCAGCAACGAAAGGCCCATTTATCCCATTTCTTTGATCTGTAAAATTTGTGCAAAATAAAGTAAGATGCAAAATCTTCAAGTAATGATACCACTCTCATAAAGAAGTAGCAAGCTACAGCGTAAACATTTTTAGTAGCAATGCCATGCCTCATTTTAACAGTTTTAAAATTTAGGCAATAAAAAATCTAATCGGACAAATTTTAAGTAAAACAGAGGCCCAGTGAATCTCAAGCAGATTTGAGTGGCACATAAAAACAAAAAAAGATGCCACCTAAAAATATATACCTGACAATTTTGTGGAAGGGGATTTTGTATCCAACAAATAAGCTCTTCCTCATCATACTCTAACTATTTTATTTTCTCCCCATACAGGTACAATAAAACAAAAAATTTATCTATTTTATTTGTTTAATATTGCATTTATCTTTGTTCCTTTATATTTAATAATTCCATTATATTTTAGAAAATTCCTTTTACTTTAATTACTATGGAAGAAATAGTTTCAGTTTACGAATATTTCAATTTATGAACAGCCTTCAGGAATGAATTAAATTCATGAACTGTGGTTTTACTGCATATAACTGCTAGCAATGTATGGAACAAAATTTTATGTGTGATATTAGTGTAAATTTTTTTAGATTCAGTCCCTCTTCATGAAAATGTATTTCACCTTCAAACTTGCATAATTTATAACATTTAAATAAGTTTGATTAAGTTAACAACATCATAAGGCAACTTGAGTGGCACGGCCACTTACTTTGAGGCTTGCCTCTTTTTAATATACTGAAATGCCACTGAATTAAGGAACCTGATTATTAATGCATTGTTGTCCTTTGGTTTTGGTAGCAGTTGCAACACAGTGAGGCATTGATTCAACAGTTCATGGAAATTGTCTTCCAAATGCCTTCCACAATTTCTCATAAACCAGTTAAAGGCAGTGGTGGTGATTGGCTTGCTTACAAATATTTTTCCAGAGTATCTTAGAGATGCTCAATGGGCTTCAAGTCTAAGCTTCTCAGTGGCTGTTTCAGCTGACAGAATCCTGTTATATGCTCCTTGAACTAGATGGTAACTTATTGGGATTCATGATTACAGCAGTAATTCTACAAGTGCATGCCATTCATTCAGATGCAAAAAAGCATGAAAAGATGTAGGTGATTGTTCTGCAGATTTTTGTACTTAAACACAGTGAATGCTTGGTACAAACACAAAGGTCCTAAACACTGCCTAGAGAAAACACCTTAAATAAGTGGTACCAAAATTTTTTAGTTAAATTAGCAACAGAACAATCAGAAAGTAGCAAAAAGCTGCACATGAGATCACAAGTAGGTAAGTTCATATGATCTTCAGTGTGATCACAAATTCAGTGTTTTTAGATTCTCTAAGTTATGAACCTTAATACAATCTTGATTGGTTTATTATCTATATATTAGTTTCAACAAAAATCTTAAAACTAAATGTTTGCAATTTAAGTTTTTTGTTCAGAATTTTCCATTGCTTAAATCTTTGTTTCTTCTTTTAATTAATTCTCAGTAAATTTAGTTTTTACTTTTCAGTTAATTTGTTTATATGCATTGTTAGTGTTGTGGTGTATAATTTTCCTCTCTTAATTAAAATAAATCAACTGAAAGTGATGAACAACTTGCCTTTTAATTATCTTAAGAACAACACCAACAATAATATCAAAATGACCTAGTAAAAGTTAAACCAATTTGCGTTGTGTAATCAAAATGTGCTACAACTGGTTAAGAAATTGTACGAAGCAAGTATTATAATTATCACAACAAAATAGTAGGTAAGTTGATTTATTTAATATAGAATGCATTGCAATTAGACAAGGATATTCCTCTGAAATACCAGCAGTTAGAAATCAATTTAAATTTTAACTTAACAATGATCAATTTATTAAACAAACACTTAATATTAATTCACAGCAAAATAGTAAAATTATTGGTGGTTGAATGAGAAATAGGGGGTCGGCGCTGATTGCTAAATATCCTCATCTCTAAGGGAAAATTTAAGTAATGTTACCTCCTGGTCAGTAGACATCTTCTGGTACAGTTTTTCCCGAAACAGGATGCTCAGATCAGCTGCATTCGACAGCGGGTATCTCGCCGACCAAGTTGACCATCTAAGCCGGCAATCTGTAGCGCGGCTGTTGCACTGGAGGGAAACATCAGAATATTTTGGGCTCCGTCCATCTGTTCTAGGCCTACTCCACGGGGTGACATGTCGGCGAACTTCCCGAAACAGGATGCTCAGATCAGCTGCATTCGACAGCGGGTATCTCGCGGACCAAGTTGACCATCTAACCCGGCAATCTGTAGCGCGGCTGTTGCACTGGAGGGAAACATCAGAATATTTTGGGCTCCGTCCATCTGTTCTAGGCCTACTCCACGGGGTGACATGTCGGCGAACTTCACTGAAATTTGAGCAGAGAGTTTTCTATAGGTGACAGATGATTCGAGGCAATAGTCTTCATCCTGGCAATCTGAAGAGGTCAAAACAAAATTCTCAGTGGAGCCCTAAGCTGGAGTTTAGTTACGCTGGAAACGGTGAGAGTGAAAACAGATTCGCAACAACCATTCTTCTCGTCTTCTCCACTCCTCCATCTGAGAAATTTTGCGGGGAAAATTTGCAGGAAAATCTTCCTCTAACAGGTGAAGAGTTTTAAACCAGAAAACTTCCACATTTCCAAAAAGTCCCCAAAAGAGATGAGAAAAATCTGCAACCACGCCAAGAACAAAACCATATAAAAATTTCTAAATTTTTCCAAGAATAATTCAACCTTTTAAATTTTCTCACCGAAAAACATGCCAAGGCAACTAACCCTTTTTATGGGAAGGCTCACCCCTCCAGAAATGGGTGACATTCATCACCAGTCAAAACCCAGCTCTCGAAGCTTAAAAATTGTGCTTCTAAGTGAACATTTCGAAGTCAGGAAATCTGCGCCATTTCTGCTAAAAATATACGTTTAATTACAAATAAGTTCTTAAGCAATTAAGCTATGTGAAAACCTATAATTCCACCAGAAAGGTACACATTTTCTAACATATAAACAAAAGCATATAAATTTCCATTAGTTAAATTCATAATTTCTATTTTTAAATTGAGATAATACTCAAGAAATACATGAAATTAAAATCTCTTTAACACAGAATCCAACCCAAGAGACCTATTTTGAGTTATCCAAATTTACCACAGTTATACAAACTGAGTAACATAATTAACTTTACTTAAAAAAATAATAAAATTTGGCTAACACAAAAGCTGATTAAAACCTTAATTAATATTACTAAAAAAATTATACTTCTTCAACACCTTACAACCAGAAATTATTGATTCAAAAGACATTAGCAGAAAGAGGGGTAGACGTTAACCAAATTCTAAATTAAAAACTGTTAAATAATTTAAAGTTACATAACCTTAAGGATCAAAACAAACATTACAAAACTAAATAAAATTTTAAGTAACTAAAATTAAAAAATTAAACAACTTCACTATAGGAAAACTTTTAAAGCAACCAAACCTAAATTTAAAGTTTACAAAAATTACAGTTTAAACTTACAACCAACTTTAAACAACTAAAGCAAAAGTTAATAACTTTAATACTTATAAAAACTGAATTAAATAAGCAAAACAACTTAAAGCTTGAAAATAAAAACAATTAATACATAACATTAGGTTTCCTCAGGTTTGGATTTTTTAACATTATTGCACTAATTTTTTTAAGTTAACGGTTTTTATTTTTTATTCATGATTCCTTGTTTTATTTTAAGTATCAGTATTATGATGAAGTACTGCACAATTTTTCAACTATTAAATTGGACCATCCCTTCAGTTAGTTAGCTGTCTCAGCTAAGGTTTGATGTTGTTGGCTACATACAATATGGCCTGCAGAGCATGATCCTTCAAGGTGAATTTTCCCTCTCACTTTGCCAAAATATTCTTTCTTTTTCTACTTTTGCATACTCTTGTCGTACCCTTAATACTGTAGAATGAAAAATTCTCAATTTTGGAACTACACTGGTGAGAAATATTAAAGGGACAGATATAAAACCTTGTGCATTGTTGAATGATTTTGCAGCTAAGAACATGGAACAACTCCATTTTGCTAAATCTAACATATCTTCAAAACAGAGAATTGCTTATTTCTGCAAAAAATAAATTTAAATAAGAATATGAAAAGTGTGCTTTAAAGTTGGGTATAGAAAAATTGCTATTAAAATTTTTTCAAAAGTGCACAGAAAAACTGAAATGGGTCGTGGTTACCCCTGACCAAAATCAAAGCTTTACAATGATTTTCCATGCTGTATATTACATTGCCCAGCAGTTTCTATAATAACAAAATATATTCATGATGAATAGCTGGACAGTGCTAGCTAAGGGCTGCAATGGAGGAAGTTGGCCTCCTAGTTTATCTTACACATGTTCTACCGAATTTAAGTCTTGAGAATCTGAAGCCCACTCCATCTGTTGGATCCCTTTGCTATCAAGGTAATCAGTCATAAATGCAGCATTACCATGATGGGCATTATGATTCATTAGGAAAACATTATTACCAATCACACTCCTAAGCAACTTGACATATGAGTGGAGAAACTTATCTCTATATATTTCAGCATTCATAGCTGCACTGGTAAGATTGTGTAGATCAGTTTGGCCACTGAAACTTATGCCTGCTCATACTATAATTCCATCACCTTCTTCATGCTGATACTTTTCATAGATGTTTTCAGGTTTATTGGAAGCATTTTACTCCCACTAAGTTGTAACATGTCTGGAATCATTGTCCATACAAAAATAAAACTCACTAGTAAACAGAACTCGGTTTAAGTCAGCTGTACTCCAGTCACAACAATCACTTCAACCAAGTGCATTTTGCAGCCAGAGTTAAGATGCTTGTTTTTTACAGCTTTTTTTCATGCATATGCATGTCACTCATGTCATATCTGAACAATCGTGTTCTCAGAGATACAGTGAACTATCCTGCAATTTGGACTAACTTTAACAGTCAATTTATTTTGTAGTTTTTGCCAAATAATGGTCCTAAAAGTCTATTATAGTATGTTTGGCCTGGTTGTCTACATACACTGCTAAGTATAGCCTTTAACCGTTTCTAGATTCTTCACAAGATGCTTTTCATGCTTTTAGATCTTTAATGACTTGTGTTAGTGTCTATCCTGCTTCCATTTTCCCAATCATGAGCCATTTCTCACAATCTATCAGATGCTATTGCAATAACATGTTCCACCTTCTACACACAAAAAAATTATTCAGCTCTTCACTGAATCCTAGAAATTAGAATGTGAAGTCACATCTTAAAATCCTTTTGACATATGCTGAAAGAATAGGCTAAAAAATTTCCCTACTTCTGTGTAGTGGAGGTGAATCTCATTGGTCTATATGATAATAATAATGACCTTGAATCATCAAGTACTTGCCTTTCAATAGATTTCACTTGACAAAATTAGCCTAAATACCTTTTTTACAGCTGTTCTTTAATGAAACAGTTTATTTTTGAAACTGAATATCTCACAATCAAGCAATTATTATTGGTCCTCTACCAAAGGTCCTTTACCATCTAAAATCACGACTTTCACCTATCATTTTACTTATAAAAACTGCTTAAACAAATGGCCATACAGCTATACAAATCCTAACAGCAGTGTCCTGACATGTACAGATATCAGGGAGCGGCTTTGCAATACTTGTATATCACCACCTATCCTTAATTCAGTAGCACTAAAATATTTATTACCTTATATTCTTGAATATATGTTTTCACATCTTGTTCAAGAGTTTAGAAATTACTTTATGATTATTAAACCAAAATAAAATATAAGGTACTTTTCCGTTTTGCCGGCGCAAGCGATAAAGTCGTCAGTAATGGTACAACCGATGCCAAACGGAATATTCTTGCTGGTAACCTTTTACGCCTCATTTTCAAAACAAGTCGCAGCTTTTTCTTATCAGATTGATTTTTTCTTTCGATACTGGCATATAATTACATACAGTTTTTACCAGATATTCAGTTTTTGTCTAAGAACCGTTTGGTATTAGCAATTGGATGCAATCACGTGCTCCCGAAGCCGAAATATAGAAAAGTAAGTCAATTAAATTCATCAGTTCTAATGAAATGCATAGCGAAGTAAGCACTGCGTTTTACATAATTTCTGAGTAAGCTATTCGTACAATTGAAATTCTTGCATTTAAACTTGTGTTCCAATCAAGATTAACTTGAATTAATGTAGAAATTACTGAGAGCATTAGATTTGTAGTAGTTTACGTGAGATGAGATCGCTTGGGTCACGTGATATGAACCGGGGAATCAGGATTTGAACCATGAAAGCAAATTAATTCTTAGTTATGTCTTTTTCAAATTATTGTCTTTTTTTACTTTTTAAAAATTTAAGCGATATTAAAATGTGTATGCCTTCAAAAATTCTTAGAACTAAAATTTTTTTAAATATTTTTTATGTGTATACTGTATGTTGTCGCTAATAAAGTCTGCTTGGCGAGATTTGCGCCGGCGAAACGGAAAAGTACCAAATATAAAGCAAATACATTCTACATAAATATAGGACATCTTACACAGCCATAAGCAGTACTGCTGCTTACATTAAAAATATTAGTTTTGAAATGTTATTTGCAATCACAATTAATTCAGTAAACCTCAATCATTGTATGGAGTTCAGATACAATGAATTTTAATTTCATATTGCACAAACAGAGATGAAATAAAAGAACTTTTTATCTTGAAAAACTTCCAACTTTTCTTCCATTACAAATTTTTAGAGTGGTAGAAATTTATATACAAGATGGTTTAAAATATTTGGCAAAAATTTAATGGAACGTATGCACCCAAATGGCATATTGAAATAGTACATGGCACTTTTGAGCATTACGTAAAAGCATTTTGTTAGTGTAAATCATAATTTCCAGTGCAAGTTTTGAAAAGTATGCTTCACTACATAAAAACTGAATTTATTGATATGTGTTTTATCTATAAGGTTGCAGCTAGTAAAAGAAGTTACAGAGAATGAATCCTGAGTACTTCCTTTGAGAAACTACTCCATTTCCATCTGCAATCCCATGAACACAGAGTATATCATTGAGGTATGTGTTCACGTATCACTGCACATCAGCACTTGAAATCTGCATGGGAAAGGACAATTTACACCAAAAGAACACTTTTATCTACTACTCAACAGCATCCTATATTGCCTCAATGTGTCATTTGGTCACACATTCCATTAAAAAATCTGCTTTTTTTTTTTTTGTTCCTTCTACCTGCATTGCATTTTTGCCAGATGTTTTTCAATCACCTTATGTGTGTGTGTACATATATATACAAAACTGTTTTGTAATTATATATATATAATGAAATTTCTTTAAAAATAATTGTTTCTATACATACTCTTTCTCACGGAAATATTGTTATGACGGCTATAATTTCCAAATAAAATTTAGGAATGCTTATCAATCAATTATTGCTGTTTCATTTTTGCAAAAAATATGTTTGTAAATTACATTTCTGTTGTTTAAAAATAAATCAGCCACATACAGATTTGAAAATGCAGACATAATTCAACTAGATTTTAACAAAGGAATTAAAATATTTTTAGTTACATCATACGTACAATTATAAAAGATTTTTAAAATATATGCAAATTCTTTGCACACAACTTTTAGCATTTAAAATTTCTTATGAAAAATTTAGCATCCTTTTCAGCCTGATATGTTTGGAATTTATAGGATATGGATGGGCAATTATGTTTGCTTTTAAAAATCTTATTTAGAATTAGGTAAGTTTTCATATGGATTTACTTAAGTTTATAAAAAAAAGAAGGGTAACTATAATATTATAAAAATAGCGTCCTATGTTCATTTCACTGATTCACAAAAAAAAAAAAAAAAAAAAAAAAAAAAAAAGTCTAAAAAGACGCTCTGTAAGAAATTATTTGCATGGAAATTTCTATGTATTTTACAGTTGAAAGCTTTTAGAATTTTCCCTCAAGATGAATTTCAGTTTACAGCCAACTGAATGATAAAAATGTAATGTTTCAATATAAAGTTAGAAGTTTAGTGGCAATTGTGAAATTTTTGTATGGATATGCTGATGTAACAAACAGAACATGTTGATGTTAGATTTTGATTACATTATTAACGTACATTTAGGAATATGTATCCTTAAAATTAAGAGACTACGGTAGACTTCATTTCAGCTAAATTTAAGCTGTTTCATTACATTTACTTTGCAATGGTTGTAGATAAGTTATCAAAATTTCATTAAAAGTCAATAAATATAAACCCCGGTTGATTATTAATCAATAAAAGGCATTCCAATTCTGAACGACTTATAGAGGGAGAAAAATACTCACAGAATCATATAAGTCACAAAATTTCTTCACCAATTCTGTCTTATCAGCTTCATGAAGAACAGATTCAAGTATGTCAATCAATAATTCCTGCACATTGTCCTTATTTTTAACTTGAAACAATATGAAAAATGAAAGTACACACTTTATTATATGCAATTTTTCAAAATTAATACATTAAAAAATTATACATTGGTTTTGATGAAGATAAAAGTGTTGCACAGTTTACAATCAATACAGACATTTATCAAAAATTAATTTACTAATATATTTCATGAAACTTCTGAATTCTTTATTCTGACGTAAAATAAATGCATGTTGTATTATTTTTTTGGTTTGTGCAAGTTCATATCTGACATTATTGCCGATGATAGATAAGAATATTTTATTATATTTGATAATTTGAAAGCATATTGTTAATAAAATAAAATATTTTATTTGGACTTATACTGTATTTTATGTAACTTGGAACAACTTATTTTATGCCATAAGAATAAAAAAGTAGGTTTCCAATACCCTATACAGTAAAGTGCCGCAAACTCAACTCCGATATTTCAACATTTTGTACAACTCAACAGCCTTTTTGGAATTTTTTAAAGATATCTGTTGGCAAAACAGAGCAAATATTACATACAATAGATATATTTATTATTTATTTATTTACCATCAGATGAGCAGCTGCACCACCTTTAAGACATTCAGCTTTTATACTTTTATATAATTATTATTTATGCATATTTATCTATATGTGGCACATTATATTGAGTTTGCAGGATACTGTAATAGGCTCATTTCAAAATTCCCAATTCTAGCCTTTGTATCTGCTTAAAAAGCCTCTTTGTGCATTTCCTTTTCAAAATTTATTCATTTTTATTTGTGCCACTTTGAAGGTTTAGCAAAAATTTGCAGAAATAAATGTTAAAGCAATAAAAATTGAAATTTGTTTCTGAATGGAGTTTTAATGTTATAAAAAATGCATAACATTAGCTTTAAAATCTAAGAAGTAATCAAAATTGCTATTAGTCTATATTGCAAAATATCACTTCATTTCAGGCTGCCATACATTTAGACAACTATTCTAAAAAATACGGTAACCTAATTGAAAACTGAGGTAAATAAAAGAAAGCATTGCATCATTCGAATTCATGCTGGTGAAATAAACAGGTCATCCATTAAAGTTTCCACTTTTCAGAGTTCTTAATGTAATTACAGCATTTGTTACACAAATGAATATCCACTGTTGGTATCCTAATGATTTTTTTCAATTTTCTTTGGGAAAAAATATGAAAATAAGTTGTTCAGTTAGAGAATTAGATACATCAACTCTCTATCATCTCATCAAAAATGTATTAGCATCATTTAGTTAATGAGTTTAATTCTAACTTTCCAAAAAGCATTTTCATGAAGCCCTTGTCTTGTAGATTTGTAGTGACCCAGTTATTGCACGAGTAATAATTATTTTTTATCTCAAGCATTTTATCATGTGTTTAATTATCTCATAAAATTAACTTTAATCTTTTGTTAATATTCATATTTATATCTCTTTTATGTTGAATGGCAATAATTTATTCATATTTATATTTCTTTTACACAGAATGGCAGCAATTAGATATTCATAATTATATTTCTTTTATGCTGAATGATTCTCTTTTTTAACTGTAATTCAGGTAGCAGTTATTTTGATAGCTGAAAAATAAAAGCAGTAAAATTAGCTATTCCTGATTCTTACTGTTCCTAATCATAATTTAGTTTGAATATCAGTAGCAA